ACGGCGATGGAAGATGAAGATACACCATTACACCATTTACTCGGTCTGATGCATTTCTCGTGTGTGAACCGGAATACGTTGATGTCAGCCAGGAAGTCAGCCTACAACAGGGCGACACAATGTTGAGAGAGAAATATTTCCTTCTATAGTGCAGTAACTAATTTTTGATAGCAAATATGCTGTAAAGCTGTAAATATCGCGATTATCACAAACCAGAGATGTTCTACTAATGGAAACGATTCAAGATGATGATATCAACGAAGACATTCATCAGCACACGAGCAGAGTGTTCCATTTCCTAGTTCTGCTTCACAGAACAGTAATTTCAAGGCCTCGAATAAAAATTTCATTATCTGTTGAGGCACTGTTTCAAATTTTTGTGCTAAGTTGCTGCCATGAAAAGTTCGAAACCCTAAGCCAGCCGTTTTTTCCAAACAGTTAGAAGAACTTGGAAGTGCCACAACAAAACCAGCAGAAACATAATATAACTTATCTTCTATATGTTGGTAGAGGTGCCAAAATGACGCATCGTGTAAAAGGGAATTTGCCAAGAGAAAATAGGTAATGGAACCGGGTCCTGTTTAAATGGCGTCTAGGAACAAGGGGGCGGTGAAGTAGAGCTATTGGTGTAAAGTGAGAAATAGTTTTTTCTTTCTTTCCACTGTACATTTTCGCCGTTTCAATCTAGTGTCATTATTTTTAGTGTAAAATGGGAATTGGCTTTAAATCTCTCAGCGTTCAATGTGTAAAGCCGCTTTAAATTCTTTATGCAAAGAACGAAAGACGAAAGAGCCGCGAGTTGTCTCATTAAAAAAGACGTGCGTATAGGATTTATTTCACAGGCTGGTCAGAAAAAGAAAAAGGGCAGGGTCTCTCTGCCCAGGATTTGTAGAACAGATGCCAAAGCTACATCGGCTTTTGCAACTGTATACAGTAGGAGTGCTGTCAAGATTTATGGTTCCCATATGATGTGTCATGTACTGGATTTGCACGCGTCATGATCAGGTTCTGATAGAGTCGCTAAGTTTTTGTTAGTACTACTAAAAGTCAGTAGTAGTACTGATGACTGTCGCCAACAGACGGTTCGTCGGATGCGGTTTATCATCTGGTAAATAATACTAACGTACGTTACTTAGATTCGTTTCCATATTGAGAACCACTGAAGTCAAATGCGTCTTTTGATTCCATGGTTAGCAGCACTGAATCCTGTTCTGTACTCTTGACCATGGAATGAGAAAATGCGTTCGCTTACAACACTGATCTTATTTTGGCGATCCAGAAGATGAGCTTTAAGCACGATATAATATCCTTTATGAGTTCTTTGAATGTTTTCGCTTTGTATAATTATCGACTTAGCATCGCTTCTATGAATGTTACTCGAGACTTTCAGCGATACTGTATGAGCATAGACTGAATCAGCATATCAGCAAACCATCTTTCATTTCGGCCAAATGACCTTTGTTACATTATGTGCAAACTGCCAAGTAAACGTGACTAGCGAACATGACAGACGCTGGTTTGGATCCGGTTCGATGCAGTACCACAGACGAACCGTGTGACTTCCGGTCCCATTCTCTTCTTGCACCTTATATACCCTGACAGAGACATCGAGACCAGCGAATTAGGCTACCGATTGATTTTATTGAATTGGCGGTTTTTTTGGAATGGAAGTAACTTTCGTTTCATCCATTGTCAACTAGCTGAATTCCCATTTCGAAAGATGATAAACGCATTCCCATGCACGAAACAGTGTACCCAAGGACCAATAGTTTTTTGGAGATGAACCTTTCATTCTAGAACCCTGTCGCCTAATGTTCCGTAATAAGTATGATAATCATATAGTAATATATTCCAGCATTTTTTCATGGTTTATTTCATGCATCGGAATATAATGCATTGATTGAAAAGACGGGATGTCTGTGCCCATAAAACCAGGGTGGGGCGGGGGTGAAATTTCACGGAGCCATCTTCCTTAGTTTCGAGGAACATAAAGCTACCATGATGCAGTGAAACTCGGTTTCTTGGAGTTGTATGGCTATAATTGATATATTGGTTCGTAAACCGATATTTCTGATAGGTTCGCTGCCTGCCTTTTCGACATGTACCTCACAAACCTCCTAGTTGAAAGCACTACCATTTAGCTATCGTTTTATGAATCGATGTTAGCGAAACACCGACCGGAATGCCGCCGTAAAGTTTATCATCCTGGTTAAGCAAACCACCATCTCCATTATTATACTATTATATTACGAACGTGCTGTATTTGCAATGATTGTCGTCATGAACCGTGTGTTAGATCGTCATTCCTCATTCTTAAGGTTACATCGAAACAGTGCAAACTTACTTTCTTTTAACGAAGAGTTTCAATAAAATATTCGAGGCAAGTGGTCCGCAAGTGATCTCGATCGAGCAGTTTTTCATGTAGTTGTTTTTTAGATATTTTGCTGAAGGTGAAAAACGGCCAGTTGATGAACGTTAATGTGGAGTTGTCATGGCGGCCGTACACAAGGGCTGAACTGACGGTACCTGCGGACGAAACCTGGTACCTTGTTCCTGTGCCTCGTCGCCCTCACTTTTCGTTTTCGCGTTTTTCAGGATCGTCATTTTGGTAAAACGTATAAATACTTGTCGGCTGTATACTTTCCATTGGTTGGGTCCAATCGTTGCTCGCAAACGACAACTACTTAGCCTCGGCTACAGAATCATCGAGGTAAGTTTCGCCCGTTTACCGATCTGATTCGGAATGCAGATTTTCTCAACCCTGTTATAGGTCGATGGATACAAAGCCAGTAAGCGGCCTCTCTCCGATATCGAAGCACAGCAACTGCATGACAGTGTCTTGCAACTGTGCGAATGTGAAACACGAGTCATCAAGCTTTGTAACTGATTTGTTTATAAAATTGAAGACTTTGCGTCGCTGGTCGCATTTTTGACGTCAAACGTGTTCTTTACTTTTGATAGCGTGACCTAGCAGCAACAGTTAAGGGTTCGTTTCGATGAGTTCGCCAGGGAGTGTTGCCATGGCGGATATCGACATGAACTTTTTTAAAACAAACGTTTCAGAACTTGTCACTCCAGTATAAAACTTTTGATATCTTCATCCTCATTAATGTTTACGCTGATTCGTTCGACTCATTTTTCATGTACCTAAATTCAGCTGACCGTAGCAGTCATTCAAAATTTATTTTGGAAAACAAGTCAGTAGAACGTTGCGTTTTTTGGACATCTTAATAAACGTAATTCTGATGTTTCCTCATCTTCATCTTCATCTTCCATCGCCGCTTCTCCTTTCGGGTCGCGGAGGCAGACGCGTCAGACAG